CAGACCCCCAAGAGGATCTAAAAATTAGATCCCCTAGAACCATAGGGGGAATTATATAAGGATTATATAGGGGTTATAATGGGTCTATATAGGGGATCTAATTTTTAGATCCTCCCAGGGGTCTGGGCTTTTGCATTGGGTGATTGGTCTTAGGGTTGTGCATACTAGGGGCTAGTAGAAATGACTACCTGTAGCTTTCAGATCCCAAGGCTCCATATAGTTCCCCAAAACCCCAAGCCCATCGGCCCTAAACCCTAAGCCCATAGGCCCTAAACCCTAAGCCTCAAAGACTAAATTTCCCACTCCTACCTTGCTCCATGTACCAGATGCCCATGTTTTTGAGCAGCCCTGCATACCTGAGTCTTGCTCGAGTTATTGGGTGTAGGTTTAGGACTTAGGGTTTAGTGTAGCACATGATAGCACAACACAGAAACTAGAACAAGCTCCCAAATCGCAGCTCAGATGCTCTCTGGACGCACTGATTCCGATCTTCCTGTACACTCTCTGTGACTCGGTGTACTTTTCCATTTCCTCCTTCTTTCGCGCTTGCATTCCATACCAAATGCCAATCTGTGCTAGAAGGTTTGCATATCCTGGGCACTCAGTGGCGCGTTCGTCTTCAAACGCACCCTTAGCTTCAAGGAACTTGCCCATGGCTTTTCCTAGCCGGCCTTGCTCTCCGTAGCAAATTCCCATCCTCATCAGCTCTTCCGCGGTCACGGACTCGCTCTTCTTCGGTTCTTTGTGCTCTTTTCTCTTCCTGCGCCTCGTCGATCGTGAAAGTGTGTCCGACTGAGACTCCGCTGAAGATTCACGCCGGATCAGGGGCTGTTCTTGCTTTGCCGACTGTAAGCTGCGGCAAAGGAATCCATATCCCGCCAATACGACGCCCGAAAGAGCAAGCCCCTTGGCCACGGAATGCTTCAGAAGCGAGGCCCCTATGCCTGGGTTGCTGTTAAGGAACTTCAATTAAGTTACTTAATACTGGGGCTATATGTGGATTATGGTAGATAACATCATGGAAACTTCTAGTTAGGGCTTAGGGTTTAGGGTCGCTGTTAAGGAACTTAAGCTGAGCAATATTATCCCCCCTATAATGGAGAATCACAAGAAAAATTGAAACTGGGGTCATACAGGGATTTAAGGAACTTAAACGAAATTGCCATAATGGATATATATATATGAATATATATCTATGTATAGTTATTGATAGGGTTTCCCAAATATAGTAACTTAAACTCAATTCCTTAACAGCAACCCAGATGCCCATGATGTGCAACTCCAAGCGAGCAGGAGAGGACAGTTTCCTCCGTTTCAGGTCACCCCGTCCGTCAGCACACGAAAGCGCGGAAAGCCTTGATGTGCGCTGGCTAAGTGGCCTCACTAGCCCTCCTTCAGAGGGGCTGGCGGCGTGTGACCTAACCTGCTCGGAAAAACTGGGACTTGGCTTGAAGCCCAGGGCCAAAGGGGCGGAATGGCTTAGGGTTTAGGGTTTAGGGTTTAGGGTTATATTGGGGTTATATAGGGATAATGGAAAAGAAAATGGAAACCACTATATTGGGGTTATATTGGGGTTATATAGGGATAATGGAAAAGAAAATGGAAACTACTATATTGGGGTTAAAT